TACATGTGTTTTAACTGATTCGAAGAGTAAGAACGTAATAACTTTTTGTCCGTATATAAAATTATTGATTGAAAAAATATACATTTTCATAACTATTTGCGCAAAAAAATGTCTCCCGGTAAAAATCGCTACGAGCAACCGTTTATTTACAATGGAAATAGTCAATACATGTCATTATTGACAAAAAATAAACAAATTGGGTAGATAAATTAATTATTTGACTGAAATAATAAATTTAGGAAATTTTTATTTTTTTTAATTAATCATACATTTTTCTGCGAAAAAATTATGATAAAATAGTTTCTGTTGAACTTTTGGTACAAAAACATTTCAAATTTATGATTTCTGCCTAATAACTATTTAGACAACATGTTTAATTTATGTCAATGATGACATGTATTGATAATTTCGATTCCAAATATCTCGAAAACCATTACACGTACCGATTTTTACCAAGAGACCTTTTTTACGTAAAAAACGTCTTAAATTTTGTATGTAATGTATTTTTTTACTCAGTAGTTTTATACAGGTACGGACGAAAAGTTATTACTCTTCAAACCAGTTAAAAAATATGTAGGTGGCGCCCTCTACAAGAAGGAGTAATATTGACATCAAAATCAAATTTCTTATATCAAAAAACGCTTAGACACAATTTTCATTCAAATATTGAATTTACTTCAGAAATTATTTGGAAAAAATAGAAATAAAAATTCAGCTTCTACACCCTGTATCTCCGAAACTAATAATTTCAGGACATACATTTATACGAACTTTTATACTTATTTTTGTTTGCAGAATACGTTGCCGAAGTTTCAGGAATACAGTTTGGACCACCCTGTTATTCATCGTTACCAATGTATCAGTTATTAAGAAGACCGACATATTATTTCTTACACAAATAAATTCAACTATCAATTTGCTTCAAGAATCACTTAAAGTATAGTATCATTTCAAATTATTTTTATAGAGCTACTACTATAAATCTATTTTACCAATCATCATTACCTTTGATCATTACCAATAAAGCAGAACGACTTCATTTCTTAAGCAAATAAATCCATTCCCTTTAGTAAGTGGGTGTAATCAACCCAAATGAATTCATCCTGATATGGGTCTGTGAGGCCTTGAGCCACAGACACCTATATAGGCGGGTGCATACACCATTATGCAAGCAATTTAAAATCTGCGACTTCATCGATCGCGTAAGAAAGAAACATTATTGGAGGCCCACTCCTTATTTCGCGCATATTACTTTAATTTTACAACAAAAACACTGCCCAACGATAATTTGTTGGAAATTTTAACCAAACAAATAAACTTAAAAGCGTTATAGACCATTAGAAGTTGAAAGTATCTCTATAATACTCAAATATTCTATTTTGTTGCATTTAGTTCTTTGTCCTTTTGTTTTGGGTTTGTTAATTTTTAAGTGGGAAGATTAGGTTTTAGATCCAATTAAATAATGGTTCAATTGCTTCGAATTTTCTGTTCCTATTGCTCTAGTCTCGGTAATTACTTGTTAGGCTCGATTGGTTTTGGCTCACTTGGATTATTTTATCACGCTTGGTCAGCTCCAACCGAGTGTCTATATAAACACTCAATTTGTAGATAATAGTTTTAATCATTTGCTGATGATGCTAACATGGTAAGGGTGTATTAAAAGAAAAGTGTTTTAGTGTATTGTGGTGAATTAGTGTTTTATTTTGCTATTGAAACATCAAAAATTTCAACATCCAACTGTAATCGAAGAAGATTGTTATAAGGCATGTAAAATGTTTGTTAAAGTGCATATATACTCGCACCTGGATTTCTTCGATAATTTAGGAGTTGTCTATGTCTACCCGAGGAACGAACGGTTCCATCAAGACATCGCTAAATTGGAAAACAGATTTCCAGGGACCTAGAATGCAAGCACGTTGATGGAGTATTGCTGGTTTCTGGGACAATAGAGGTATCCTCAGGGTATAAACCAAAAAAAGAAATAAAAAAAGAAATGATACTGGCTCCTGCAGCAAATAAAATAACAAATAGTATAACCTAAAATTATCAGTAACAAAATATAAATACCTATATGGAACAAAGGAATTTGTTCCCTATCCATATTCATAAGTCAATAAAATGGAAAGTTTAGAAAACAAGGTAAATCACCAAAAGAAAAATTAACAAACATGACGAATTGTCATGATGTTGTCATCTTGGTTGTCATGATGACGAAAACGAAAGGCGATTGTTCTAATTTCTATTTAGAAATTACGTTTTATATGGCTGCTTGTTTCTCTCTTGTTATATTAGAATGAGATAGTGAGCCCAATAGACGCAATGCGCAGATCAACATAAATAGAACGAAATTTTGCGTTCTGAGTTGCGCTACGGGAACGTTGTCCCTCTCTTTGCCATTTAATTTGCCAGTCTCTTTTTATTTGTTTGTCTATGGGTCTGTAATTTAAGAAAACCATCTATAAATATATTTGTTCCTCTGAGTTTTCCCTTATTATATTATAGCAAACGTATGTGAATTAGTTTTTTTTGAGTATTATAGAAATGTTAATAAAGATAGCAATAGCAAGTTATAGAAAAATAAGAAAAAATAAGTAGTGGTCAGAATTATATTATGGAAACGTTTAACATGTATTTTAGTTATATTTTTAGGGTGTATGTATGAATGTAATCTGAATTTGTATTTGTTGATCGCATAGAAAACCTCGCACAAAAAACTTTTAGTTTTTTCATGTTTATTGTATATTTATTGATACATTGTAATTTATTGAGTATATAAAATAAATAAACATCATATTATCGTTTTATCTCAACTACATTCGTTGGTTTCTCGTGGTCGGAGGAGTGACTCGTCTCAACCATGATGGTGATAACTTTTCTGGCTTAGAAACGTTCCCGGTTAAGTTACATGTATAGAAATCGCCTTGCTGTATGGCAGGTGTTAAGGATTACAGATTTTTGCATAAGTTGGTACTGGTATGTTTCTAAGTCTATTGCCTTCAGCGATTCAATTAGTGTTTTTGGTATTACACCCATATTCGATAGTACTAAAGGAATGACCCGGACTCGATCGTATTTCCACATATCCTTAATTTCAAAGCATAAATCAATATATTTGGTAATCTTCTCTCTGTATGTTTGTGTTAGGTTATTGTTGTTTGTCACCGCAAAATCTATAAGCAACACTTCATTTTCTTTTTTCTTCTTCACTACTATGTCTGGTCTATTGTGTTCTAGTCTTTTATCTGTTATTATTTATTATATTCATTGTTTTCAAGGATTGTAGCAGGTTCGTACTGATAATAGTTAACTTTATGCTGTATGAGTTTATACTTCAATGCTAGTTCTTGGTGTATGATCTTTCCCACTTGGTCGTGTCTAAATTTGTAGTCACTCTGTGCTATAGCTTGGCATCCTCCTATGACGTGATGTATTGTCTCACTTGCTTTCTTACACCTTCGGCATAAGTCCGACTCAATTCCGTCCTTTAATATGTATCTTCGGTAGTTATTGGTCTTTCATATAAACATCATATTATTATTATATTATTATGGGCACTTTCCAATCTAAAATTGTTTCTTTTATCTATGTTATACCGTCTACACTACTAGGTTATAATTTATAATAGACAGTTAAAGCACGGCCGAAGACGTAGACGTAAACGTATCGTTTGACATGTACGCTTGCGCAGTGTGAAATTCACTTGCGTTTACGGATACGTGATACGTATCTTTATGTGCCTTTACGTATGTACAAAACGCAAACGTATCGAGCCGAAGGAGTTTCGATTTTCACCCGAATGATGCCGAACGTACAAATTCATAAACAACTCGTTTCCACAACTGGCTAGTAATTAAGTTATTTCATAAATTTTGGGGCCAGTGTCACAGAACTGGGCCTATTTTATTACAATAAATTAGTATGAAAATATTAAGCATCATAGTAAACTCATTTTGGAATCTATTTAATTAAATGCTAGTTCTTATAGGCAAAACCATAATATGAGGATTCGAAAAGATGGAATCTAATAAATAATCATAAAGCTGTGTCTGTTTTCCAATATTTTTTTATTACGAAGAGCATTTTAAGTTGTAAGGACTACTTTCTGTAATAAAATAATTTCAATTTATAATTTTCTTCAGTTTTCGATATTACTTTTATAAATTTAATGTGGAATCAATGGAGTAATAGATATCCATTTTCAATTTTAAAATTAAATAAATTGTTTCACAAAATAATTTAGAATTACAAATGTACCATTTGCGTTACGTACATCAAAATACTTGCTTTAACTCTTGTTTACACGACAACGCAACGGCAGACGTAACGTAAGTTTCTGCGTTACGTGTCGAGAGATACGTATACGTATTGTGCCTTGCTTTAACTGTCTAATATCTACGGTTAGTCTCCCCGAAATGAGAGAATTTAGAAGATATAATTTGACATTGAAAAAATTATAGAATGATAATTTAAGGTACGTTAACAATTGCCTAATTTTGTTGCATTGTTACTTGTTAAAGTTAAAAATGATGCCGTTTTTCTTAAATTACTTAAAATCGTCTTGTCCAAAATTGTGCAAATTTGCCATGTATATTTAAACCTTTAAAAATTCTATTCAGACTTTTATTCAGACTATACAGACCTTTAAAAACATATTTACGACTTATCTGTAAAATTAATGGGGGAGTCAATATTTGGACAGTTCAAAATTTGAATGGGATTTCCTATGTTTCCAACGACGATGAATCACGCGGTATATGGACAATAATAATAATAATAAAAAAAGAGGAGAGCTCCTCTGAAAATGGTTGGTGGTAGAAGAAAACTGAATATTATACGGCTATATTTGGATTCAGTAAGTCATTTTACATAAGAATCAGCGGGAATTGTCAAAGATTTCAACGCTAATTAATTCATGAAAAGAGAACACAACTATTAAGTCGAATTACAACTTTAGATAACGCACGAGTCATTGGCTGGTATCAGTTTAAAACTAAATTCTCTAGTTGTACTATTAGACCGAAGACCGGAGCGGTAGTACCAGGACATACATCTCTTCGTTCCAGCTGTGTATTCGCGTTTTAACCGCCGCCGCGAATGGACGTGAAGCTGTACCGCGTGACGTCACGAACCGTTTCACTTTTACCTTCTTTTTAGTGTGTAACAAAGTGACCGTGAACCGAGTACAAACGGGGTGAGAAGCGATATTTGCAAATTAAGGTAAACCTACTTATGATTTTAAAGAGAATTTCAATCATGTTTTAATTGAACTTATAAAAAAATGAATTTTAAGTCAGGAATTATTTTTTTTACTTTTGATTATTACATGTCGAAACTAGTGACTAAAAACCCTTAAAAAACTTTTTTGTCATACAATTATTAAAATAAAAAAAAATTATAAACAAATTATTTTTTAGAAAGTATATTTTAAGAATTATCATAAAAGAAAAATTATAAATTTTATCTGGTATCTTACGCTTTTAAAATTGTGATTTAAATAGGGTAAAAGTAACATAAGAATTTTGTGTCAGATGTTTCTTTCTCTTCTTTGATTTTTGTAATTCTATCGATTTGAATGTTTATTGATCGAAGACATTCAGATCTGATTTACATTTTAATGTGTTTTCATATTTTATTTCTTAATTTAAAATTTTGCTTTATTTGTATATATTATTGAAATATTTTTTTCCTTTCTTAGTGACTGTTTATGAGCATAAATCCAAAAACTTTTCTATCTAATTTTTTTTTAGTCACCTCTAGTTTTAATTTGTGAAAATGTAACTTCTGATGACAATAAAAAGCTAGTTCAATCAAAAATTTGGTATGTTAATACATGACATGAATTATGATTGATTGACGTATTCAATTGGTTTTGGTTTTTCTTTTTTTGAAAACGTGAGTTTCACCGGAAACCGGAAATGACTACAACTTTTGAAATTTTCAAATTGAGTCGCACAACACGTACCCTAGAATGGAAGGGCATATCTGAGGTGCGACTCAAAAAGTGCATAATAAACAGTTCTAGCCACTGACAAGTTAAGCTCCTTAGAAACAGATCTTAATTCAAAACAGGCAGAGCTTAATTTTTTCGACAAAGCGTCGATATGTTTGTCCCATTTCAGAGAATTGTCTACAACAAGCCCTAAAAATTTTGCGGATTTTACGACGTCAATGGTAGTGTTGTTAAGTACAAAAGGCTGCAGCGAGTTTTTATACGACAAAGCTTTAGTTTTAGAAATGTTCAGACTAAGGAGGTTCGAATCGCATCAAGATTTAATGGTGATTAAGTCATTTGATATAATCCTATAAAGTGCCGTGACGTCCTTGTTACTCCAAGTGAAGCTAGTGTCGTTCGCAAATAGACAAATTTTTTGCACTGATGTTTATGTTAGCAATGTCGTTAATAAAAAGAAGAAACAAAATAGGGCCTAGTACTTGTCCTGGCCGTTTAAAAGATACCAAAATGTTATTTTTAATCATATGTCAATTTTTTCAAATGGAACAAAGGTGGAATATTTGGAGAAAAAAAATTTTACGAATAATTTGATACCACAGACTTGGTATTTCGCGGTAAAATGAACCGCATGTAACAATTTCAAATAAACCATATGCGAAAATGTCAAAAGTTGACATATGATATGTCGTTCTATTCAGAATGTCATTTTCTATCGAAGATAAAAAAATACCGATGGTGTCATTTAAAAATCAAAAATTGTAGTCATTTCCCGTGATACAGGAAGCGACCAAAAACAATTGAAGACGTCAATCAATTCTAATTTATTTCATATACTAGCATACCAAATTTCGCTTTTTTATCTGAAAAAATAAAAAGTTATAGGGGTGAGCCCCTTTTGACACGCACTCAATGACTCAGGGAAGATTTCGACAGACGACATTCAAAGCAAAAAAAAAAATACCGAAATGACAATTTTCCTGTGAATTATTTCTACCGTTGGACAGTCTATAGCCAAACTTTTATTAGTGTCCGTCATATAAACAAGGGTATATATTTATGATTTCCGTTCTAATGTATTTTTCTTCATATCGTAATGTTTAAATATGTTGCTGCTCTATTAGCTTTATGTATTCGTTTTATACCGTATTATAGAAAGAAAAAAACGGCATCAAAGACTGATTGGGAATGTCAATCGATATTAATTTTGGCGCGGTCAATCTAGGCGTCTAGAATTATATCTAGGGGTTGACCTCGCCAAAATTATCATCGATTGTCATTCCCCAGCCATCTTTGACGCCGTTTTTTTTTTGATTGTATGGTACTTTTGTTTTGATATCTCCACAGCTAGACAATGTAGTGAACATCGAATTGCTAATGTACATAAGCTGTTTTATCGGGTACAGATGAAATTCTCACATTTATACTGATTTTTGCTGACAAAATAGTGTTTTAGATTTTGTGGCCATTGAAAATGGGAAATGTTATAGATATTTTTATATAAATCAGTTTAGCTGTTGAGTGATAAAAAAGCTTTAATATCCGTCCTTCATTGTTATCTTAAAGCATTTCTAACTCATTATTAATATTATTATGCACTTTATTTAATCTCTTTTGAAACGAATAAAATATGTCTATGAATATCATTGACATCGACTTATATGGATATAATAAATTATAAAGGTCATCTATGCGCATATAAAAATTAATCTCTATGTTTTTAACTGATTGCTTTTGACGTAACCAAAATATACTCTATGTTTTTAGTCTTCCTTAAATTGCACCAATTAATTAAAACAAACATTGTTCTAATATTTATGTTGTGTAATTGTTACTAAAATAATCTATATTAAAGACATAGTGTGCTATATTTTACTTTGTTTACGAGTGTATGCATATTTAAGACCTTGCAAATATTACTTCTTTCAGGTATCACCTATGAATCTAACTAAATATAATAGACAAAATATCTGAAGGTCTGACCTTAGATTTTTTCAATGTTCATTAATATTGGACGTATACATCATATTTTTTGTTATGATTCGACTTCACAAGTCCATTATATCCAAACAAAATATGTTTTTTTCATCTCATTATACTAAACGAGTAATACGAATTCTTTTATGTATGGCGCTTTATAATTATTATTATACATCGTACCACACCCTAATTGTGATTCAAAAAGAAAACGTGCAACTCATTTATGACAGTTTATGTCAGTGTACGATGAAAATGTATCGGTAATTATTACGTCATAGACAATAACACAATTTCACTTTTTCCGATATACGGTTACGATGTGATTTCTTTGTTTTTTATTCGCTCTGAAAAAATACAGAATTTATTATATTTAATTTTTTGACCCTCATAAATATGAGGTGGAACCATAGAGTTAAAAACTAAAAGGTACAACTTTCACCAATTACTGTATAAGGAAGTACCTACTGATTTCTCTAATTCGTTCTAATTATTTTCTGGTAATATTCTGAGATTATCCCAAAAAGTTTTTTTGGATTAACAATAACAACAAACACCAACAACAAAAAGGAAAAAATTGGCCAAACGTAAGGCGAAAAATTACGCAAAAAAATCCACCCGGACCCCTCCGATCAATGACACTCAGACCCCTCTGACCCAGGCCGACTCTGCTGCCGTCCATGTTATAGACATGTTGGTGTTGAATTCTTCTACCGTATCCTCCAAAATAGTCACAAAAACACTCGATAACTGAAGTTGTTAAGTTAGCAAATAGACACAAGAACTTGAAATGATATACAGGTGTTTCAAAAAGCATGTGCCATCTCTCGTAGACTTATATTATGTTTCATATCAGCATAGGGATTTCTACTTTCTTCTAATGTAAGGGCTGAATAGGAAAACGGAATTTCAATACTTGGTATTCAAGTACTAAATAATACGTAACTAAGGGCTTAACAGGATAATTTCAATACTTGGTATTCAAGTACTAAATAATGTTATAATAATTAAATAATGTTATAATAACTTTGTAACGATTACTTAGAATTTTTACATCACAACTGGACAGAATATTTAGAGGAACTTTTTTTCATATTTTTTGATAAGTTAATGATATTAAAATTTTTTAAAGATTGCTACTAGACTTTGATCATCAAGGCAATAAATTGCGTTTATCTCACTAAAGAGGTCGAAATCGACAAAATATCAAAGACAACTTTTAATCGGCATTAAACTGCTTACACTATTTCGCCAACAAGAGGAAAAAAGTCAGTGACGTATATGCTTTTTTCGAAAAATATTCCAATGATAACCCATATGCACGTCCCTGGTGAGTATGTCGACACTTTTTTAGCTTTAAAATATGTCGCTTTTATAATAACTTTTACGCAAAAAATTCAATTTGAAACGCTAAAAGTACTTGGAAGAAAATTATAATAAATCGAAAAAAATTTAAGACTTTAACACCCTGTAGCTATGAAATGAAGCAGAATCGGGCCTATGTTAAAATGAAAAATAAATCTTATTTTTACGTGAGGATAAGGGACAACACATGTTTTTTGAAACACCCTGTATGCACATGAACTTGCAAGATAATAACCATGTCTTGGGGTACATAAACCAGAAGAAGTTTTTACTCGCTCCTCAATACCATTAAAAAGACATTTACCTCCACTTTCTGTCTATGGCGGACAGTATAATATGAAAAACTTTAAGCAGCTGCAGAACACCCAAGAAAACTTGGTCCAAATACTAGCTTAGGATATCAGGAGACCTCATAATTAAGTCAAGTTAAAAATACTTATAGGAAATTGAATTGTAATGATCCTAAAGATATTAACGGTGCATTTTTAAACAGAGTATCTCAAAAAATTGTTTTTAACGGTGAAGGTTTAAAAATAATCCTTTCCTGTCAGTTACCAAAACAAAAAACGTAAACAAAATGAACCGTTTAATCTGATTGCCAGTTAACCGCAATTATAATTAATAAAGAACACATTTTCGGTCTATAATTTCTTTGTTTATAGCCAGCCTGTCGTAACGGCTTCCGTTAAGGACAAGCCATCCAAGAAAACTATATATTTCAACGTGCTAATAAGTGAAAGTGCCATTAGAATAAAACTATATTTCAGTACTTAGTACCATTTCCCACACAACATAATAGATTTCATAACATCAGTGCCACTTGCAGAAACAGTACGCCTGGTGAATAAGGAATGAAACAAGACAGACATTGGGGATTATATCGATGGTGGAAATCGTAAATGCGGTGTAGTATTACTGGTATAAA